AAAATAGCCCAGAAAGAAGACAAATTTTGGCCAATAATGCAGAAGTCAGAAAATGGAATTCACCTGTGATTGACTTATTTCAGTCAGCATATGGTTCAAACACATTCGGAGGCATTTAATAGATACCCCTGCCCCATTATTCTTTAATAGTGAATATTATTCCATTGTGTATATGTACCATGGCTTGCTTATGCATTTATCTATTGATAGTCACATTGATTGTTTCTCTAGGCTATTCTGAGAAATGTTATGAACATGAGTGTGCATTTAACTCTATGTCATAGCTTTTATTTCTCTAGGATACATATCTAGTAAAGGCATTGTTGTTGTTGTTGTTAAGTGCCATCGAGTCGCAGGCGACTCATAGCAACCCTATGATGGAGAGTCCTTGACGCTTGAGTGCCTTTCATCCTCTCTCCAGAGTAAAGGCATTAATAGATCAAATATTATTTCAACTTGCAATTTTTAAAGGAAATATAATACTCTTTCCAACAACAATTGCAATATTTCACAGAATGTAAGTGTTCCCATCTTTGCTTGCCTCTGCCAGCATTGGTTTTCTGTCTTTTTGAACTTTGCTGTTATTACAACAGTGATGTATTTTGAATTGTATCTCTTTCTGGTGCCATAGTTCATAGGGATTTGTGCTGCTAACACAAAAGCTATGCCTCTCTGGCAATTTGAATGCACCAGCAACTCTGTGAGATAAAGATGGGCAACTCTGATATGATTGGTAGCTTAGGAAGCCCAACAGAGGGAGCTGTCAACAAATTGTCATTGAGTTATGACTCAATGCCAATAAGTTTGAATTGATTTGATACTTACACCCCAAATTCAATTTTAAATTTTATTGTGTTTCGTGATGACATGTTTTGTGTTCATTAAAGTTTTGCAAGTTCAAATATGTTTGGGTTTATTGACACAGTGATTGCAACAATAGGCCATCCATCTTAGACATATTTATTTAAATTTTATGCAATCTTTAAAAACCATGTTTATTTAGGTATAATTGACATATAAGAAAAATTATATTTACAAATAAAATGTATATAGTTTATACATTTTAGCATAAGTATACTCCTGGGTCGTCATCATTATCATAATCAAGATCATAATCATATCTATCACATTTTCAAAGTTTCCTTATACCTTTTTTCAACTATTTTTCTTTCCTTTTTTTAGTGACTACTGAACTACATTTCATCACTATTATTGTTGTTATGTGCCGTCGAGTTGCTTGCAACTCATAGCAACCCTATGTACAAGAGCCCTAAATGCTGCTCTATCCTGTGCCAACCTCGCTGTCTCTGACACACTCATACTCACCACCCCAATCACAGAATCGATCCATCTCATCGAGGGTCTTCCTCTCCTGCGCCATCCCTCCACTCTCCCAATCATGATGTCCCTCTTCAAGGACCAGTCCCTCCTTGCAACATGCCCAAAGTATGTCAGGCAAAGCTTCAGAATCCTTGACTCCAAGGAGCATTCTGGCTTCACCTTCTCCAGGACAAACCTGTTTGTTCTCCTAGCAGTCCATGGTATATTCAACACTCTTCTCCAGCACCACAGCTCAAAGGCATCAATTCTTTTTCTATAATCCCTATTCACTGTCCAACTCTCCAATGCTTAGCACACAATTGCAAAGCCTGGATCAGGTGCATCTTAGTCTCCAGCCTGATATTGTTGCTCTTCAGTACTCTTGAGAGGTCCCTCACAGCCAACTTTTTCCAAGTGCAAGTCTTCTCTTGATTTCCTGGCTGCTGTTACCAAGATGACTGACTGTGGAGTCAAGTAAACTAAAACTGTTAACTACCTCGATCTCTTCACCATCCATACTGATGCTGCCAATTGGCCCAATCTTTGTTTTCTTGATGTTGAGTTTCAATCCATATTGAAGGCTGCAATCCTTCACCTTCTGCAGCAAGCACTTCAGGTCCTCCTCAGTTTCAGCAAGCAGGGTTGTGACTACTCCTTCACCAATCTTGATGCCACATTCCTCCTCGTACAGCCCAGCGTCTCGGATGATCTGTTCTGCATACAAATTGAAAATGTATGGAGACAAATTACATTCCTTATGGACTCCCTTCTTGATTTTGAACCATGTAGTGTCTCCTTGCTCTGTTCTGACAACTGCCTCTTGGTCCAAGCATAGGTTTTACATAAGCACAATCAAATGTTCTGGAATTCCCATTCTTCTCAGAGTCAGCCACAGCTGCTTGTGATACACACAGTCAAAAGCCTTTGCATAGTCAATGAAGCACAGAGACACATTCCTCTGGTATTCTCTTCTTTCTGCCAAGACCCATCTAACATTAGCTATAACATGCCTAGTACCATGACCTCTTCTAAACCCAGTCTGCACATCTGGTAGTTCTCTGTTGACATATTGCTCCAATAATTTTTGGACAATATTCAGCAGAATCTTGATTGCATATGCTATTAATGATATTGTTAATTTCCACACTCTGTTGCATAAACAAATATCAATCTTTACATTAATATTTATTTTATAGAGTTTATGGTTCATTGTGGTTCTTGGGAATATTAGTAGTACATTCCTTTGAATTATTAAGTAGTATGCCATTGAATGGATATACCATAATTAGATATTTCCTACCCTACATTTTGATAACTAGAAGTTACCATGGATATTTATAGACAAGTCCTTGAATCATTCACTCCAAATTGTTGCTATCAAGTCAAAACAGACTCGTACCTGACCTTTCAAATAGGCTTCTGGGGTTGTACATTTCCTGGAAGCAGATGGCTCACCTTTTCCCTTCAGAGCCCCTGATGGATTTGAACCACGAGAGAGATCTCTCTTTGGGATTAGCAGGGCAACTTCCTTTGACCTATCTCCTCCTGTGGACCTAGGTGGGTTCACATTGTAGTCTTTGGACTATCAGCAGAGTGCTTAAAATAATTGTGCCACTTTGTTGTTGTTTTGTGTCGTTGAGTTGACTATGACTCCTAGTGACTCAATGAAAAACAAATCTGAACCCAACTGTATCCTGTGCCATCCTTACTATCTCTGTCATACTTGAATCTATTGTTAAAGTCACTGTGTCAATCCATCTTGTTAAGAGTTTTCCTCTCTTACTGCTGACCCTCCACATTTCCAAGTATGATGTGCTTCTCCAAGAACTGGGCCCTCCTAAAAATACTAGGTTTGTTTCTTTGGGGTCTGTTTCCCCCCCCCCTTTTTCTTTTACAATAAAGATAACAGTTTTACAGCTTTATTGTTTAAGGGGTACATCCTTCCTTCATTGAGTTGACTCAGCACTACTGCCGGTTATGAGTTTGTGATTGTTTATTTTTTGTTTCTTTACTTAATCTATCTTTATACCAATAGCACATATTGTTGTTATATACTATCATGTTGGAACCAATCCATAGCCAGCCTTACAGTGATTGCAAGGGAAAAGATTGACCATCTTTCTTCTTTGGAGCAGTTGGTAGATTTAAACGATGTGCGTCTGGATTGGCAGTGGTACTCATTACTGTGAAGTAAAAAGGCAAAAATGCGGAGAACCAGATGAGGAATTATTATCAGTTCTGTGGTGGGTTCCACACCCCTATGCCAGAGGGATGCAGTAGGAATGGGAAGTTACATGTGGGAAAGTTACAACAAAGGTTTTATGTGGGGGGGAGGGATGTGAGTTGATCTGTTTGGTGGTCAGCACTCTCTATTTGGTGGTCAGCTCCCTGGAGAGAACATTAATTGGGTGCCCTCTGCACCTTCCCCTGTATGGAGCTTCCCAGGACCCTTTAAGTGAGTTGTGTCATGGCTGGTTTTAAGTAGAAAGTGGCCGGTGGTTGTGCTCTCTTCTGATTGGCTGCAACATTGGAATGTTTCCCAAGGAATGCATCTGTGCAGAATGCTGCCCAGCTTCCAGGTGACCTTTCACTTACCATTAAGCTACAAGAGCTCCCTCAATGTCATATAGTAATCAGTATTATAGCTTTATAAATCTTCAAAGTCTGTCATTTGGTGTTTAGTAGAATTCTGTAAATTATAAACTCAGTGGAGTGGTGATACAAAAATTCAGTCTATATACCATGCTGAAAAGGTCAGTAGTATATACTATAAAAATGGTCAAATCCACTTTCTGATTATTCCCATTCACCTTTCTATTTTTTTAATATTTTTATTGTATGTTTTATTATTCCAAAAATGAATCTATTTCACCCTGTTACGATTATATTTTTAAGAAAGTGTACGCAAAGTCTTATAAATAATAAATCTTCTTTATTGCTTTTCTTGAGAGGCTTTATGTGTTTATGTTGCGGGATGCTTTGTTTTCTTTGTCTTTTTAGACAAGAGACTTAAGTATGTAATGTAAATAAAATGAGAATAGAATTAATACATTGTTTAAAATAAAATTGAATCTTATAGACAAATATTTTGGAAATTTTGTTCTTCGTGATTAACTATCTGAGGTAAGGGTCAAATAGGGATTGATTATAAAGACTATGAAAAATATTTCACAAGAATCATATCCATATGGTGCTTAGACATGTTTTTATTCTAAAAGCTGATTACATTTGCTTAAAGAGAAAGCCACAGACAAGGAGAGATGACAATTTTTTAATTCATGCTTCCAGCAGGTGAAATAAGAGTGACAATGATGTTACTTACAGTCTTTTCCTAGTACTGCATTTTGTTTCTGGAGGAATTCCCGATTACGATCCAACATCTTAGTGACCTAAAATTTCTGGCTTTACTTTCAAGATCTTCAGCTAAATCCTTTGAACGGTTATCCAAGGCCGAAATTGACAGCTGTCATCACAGACTCTGCTAGTTTTGTAACCCTCTGCATTTAAGTTTTGTTGGAATTGAAAGTGGATGCAGACCAAAAAAAAAAAAAAAAAAAAGAGGTTCTTACTTGGGGTCCAATTTATAACTAACAGGTCTAAAAGTCTCTCTTGGTGCCAAGAAACTCTAAGTAGATCACACAGTCTTTCTTCACTTCACTGCACAAAGCATCTTGAGTGTTTCAGTAAATTTTGCCTTCACAATTGCAAGTAGCTTGACACTTTTCCTTGAGCAATTCATGTTCACAGCCAGCTTTAAGTTTCAAGTCTGCACAGTTACTTAGGAGATCTTCATACTCACAGCTATTGGCTGAAAAAACAAACAAACAAAAAAATCTAAAACAACCAAGATAAGATACCTCATCATTTTCCTATATCATAGAAAACCAAACCTTAAATTAAAAACTAGTAAAAGGGGACATGATTGGATCCACAAATGAGTTCCTCACTATGCTGGCCATTTCAGTTCTTATGACACAGAGACATTTCTTTAGCTGAACTCATGGGTTAACTCATTTTTATTGTTACTACTGTTTTGGATTCAATGATAAACCTCTAAAATTGATGTACTTTCCTCATTCAGCAAACAGAATAAAGATATGCAATTAAATATATACAGGATCCAGTAAGATAGCCACTAACCACAGGAAGGTACTAAAATTTAAATTAGCTAACTAAATAAAGATTAACATTATTTTCCTCAGTGTCACTAGTCATACTTGAAATATTAAAAATCCACATATAGCTAGTGATAGTGCTGACAGAAAAAGAGCATTTCTAGCGTCATGCAGTTATACTGTATAGCATTGCTCTAGACTCTAGTGCTGTCAAGTTTTTTTTCTTCCAAGTGATCGTTATGGTAAAATACAGAACCAAGTAAGGAGGATATGCCTCTTTTATACCTGATAGTACTTGGAAGTTTCCTGAAGATTCCAAACTCAGCACATCTAAAACTAAGCTTTGCTTGTTTTGAAAGAGTCTTACATTTCTTGGGTAGGGCTTTCCAGAAATCCTACCCCTATCTAGGTGAGAGGGTTTTTTTTTAAACAAAACAAAACCAAACCCAACTTATTTTAAATAATAGATTAAAATTTATTTTATAAAGAATGTTACATTTGTTTGCTGACAAAGTTTGTACATATTGTGTTTCACACTAATCTTTATTCACAGTATGTTTCGTACAATCATTCCCATTTGTTATGTTTTAGAAAATTAATCACCATTGAACCATGTCCACCATTACCTTGTCTTTCCAGGTCTCATCAAGTTCTTTACCATTCATTTTCTTTACTCTCCACCCATAAAATTTCTGACTACTCAGGAATTCAAACCCCAGCTCTCTTGCCTTCAACAAACACTGGGTATTCAATTTCCTTCTTTATCAATTCTCATTGTTTTGTCAATAATGCAATAGAAACACCAATTAGAAATGTGGAAAAAAAAATAAACCAACAAACAAAAAACAAGGAAAAAACTCCCTCTGCGTTTTCAACAGTTTCCCAGCTGATTTCCAATTGTTTCTTTATAATATGGTTGGAAACTTCTTTACATACTGAATTCTAACTACTTTCATTTAAATCCTTTCACCTGCTCATAGGATAAGTGTTAAAGTCTTTAGCATTTAGCAGAGATATAAGTAACCAACTTTCACCTTATTTTCTAATTTATAGCTTTTGATATTATTAATATAATGACTCATGGCTATATATTTAAGTACAAAAGAATGCTAACTAAAAATGAATGCTTTTGAAAGAAAAAATCTTAAGTGAATGGGTCAATTGCATTGTGCTTAATGATTTTAATAAAGGTTTTGTGTCTCAACTACAGAAAATCAACAGATACTTTTATTTTGTTCATAATAATATTAGAAATTAAACATGTGGCATTTATTATACCCTTTTCTATTATAACAATAAGTGAATTCTCTGAGCAAACTACATACAGACTGGATTTTGAAATTAAAAATTTATACAATATTATCAAGCTATTAACCACTGATCATTTACTAAGTTAAACATTAGGAATCTAATTAAGGAAAAAGTGAGAAATTCAGCACATGTTTATTCAAACAAAGGCAACAGTAATGGTTGATACGCCTTTCACTAATATGATCTCATATATTTAGATTTTTATATTTTTCATTTTCTAAAATACTATCTTTGATAAAGTGATATAAACTTTGTTCAGATGAATTATTTCTCCTAGAACTCAGGCTTATGTACTAATAATAATGAGCCCAGTATTGGCACAAAGTTGATGGAAGATATTTTACTACATTTTCATTAAAATTAATGTGTAACTCATTAATGTGCATAAAATATTGATTTAAACACACATTGTTCAGTAATGTTTTTTCTCTTTGGTATAAAATTAATTGATTACTTTCAGAAGATTGTTGTTGTTGTTGTTGTTATGTGCCATCAGGTCACCTGCCACTCACAGTGACCCTATGTACAACAGCCCTAAACCCTGCTCTATTCTGTGCCAATCTCATTGTCTCTGACACACCTACCCCTATTACTCCAGTTAATGAATCAATCCATCTCATTGATGGTCTCCCTCTCTCTGTCCCTCCACCCTCCCAAGCATGACGTTCTTCTCCAAGGACTGGTCCCTCCTTGCAACATGTCCAAAGTATGTGAGATGAAGCTTCAGAATTCTTGCATTGAAAGAGCAGCCTGGTTTAACCCTCTCTAGGACAAACCTGTTCATCCTCTTAGCAATCCATGGTATATTCAATACTTTTCTCCAACACTACAGTTCAAAGGCATCAATTCTCTTTCGATCATCCCTAGTCATTGTCTAGCTCTCTGATGTACTATGGCTTAGATCAGAAGATTACTAAGCTTATTTAGCTATTAAAACTAAGAAAGTGTATGAAATCTACTTTATTAGCACCAATTTAGTCACGTCAAACTTACTACACAATCCATTTTCACAATTTCCAGGGCAACTGGCACAAAGTGGTCCTTCTTTGTAAGGGAAATGCTTTTGATTGACGTTATTACCACTGAAATGCAATATAAAAAATGTTACATATCTTTCAATGTGCCCTTCAGTTTATAAGATTTATAAGTTTAAGATTAGCTAGCACCAGACACCAAATATAAATAAGTATATTTAACATTTTAATTATTCCTGATATTTGAAAATTTACAATTCTCAATGTGTAATTCAGGTCATAGTCCAAAATTGGATTATTACTTCACACATTGACTACTACATTAACTGTAAATATACAGGCTCTAGAAGTGAAATAAGGGAAATAGGGCATGCAATGTTCAGAGTATTATTGTCCCTCAGTATTCATGGGGGATTGGTTCCAAGGTATCCTACAGGTACCAACATTCAAAGACGTTCAAGTCCCTTACATAATGGGGTAGGACTTGGACATAACCTGCTACCAGCTCCCATGTACCTGATCCTCCAGTGGGTTTTTAGAGACTGTAAATTGCATGGTAGGAGATGTCTTACATTTCTTTCATATTGTTGCTAGTGGATTAGAACTGGCCTTTAGATTATCAGTGCACCTTCCTATGGACGAGCGCAAGAGAGCATACCTTGTTAGAGCATCCCATGTAATATCTAATACAACACAAATGTTAGGCAAATAGAATTCATGCTCTCTTTCAAGCCTTCGAGGAATTATTTTCATCACGTAACTGTTTCTTACTACCTCAAGTATGTTTTCCATTTGTACTTGATTAGATCTGTGCATTTAATCTCTGTGCTACACTAGAAAGAAGCAGACTGGGGTCTGGATTACAAGACTCACGTGATAGTCTGACTTGATGTTTTGGTAATATAATCCGATAGTTTGACTTTATGTTTAGAAATAGTGTATGCTGATTTTTATACTATATGCCAGGGAAAGGTAATTTCTACTAGGGTTTTCTGGCTTCTAGATGGAGTGTTAAGTTCTGCTTACATAACCATTAAGAGCTGAACTGCTAACCAAAAATCTGCTCAAACAGGATCTGACTCTAACAGCAGCTTTGAGGGAGGACATGCTGTGGACTCTTCTGTGAAGAATACAGGCTTGGTCATTCTGTGGAGCAATTCTACTCTTTTATATGAGATGACTCTAAATTGAATCAACTCAATGCTAAGGGAGGCAGATGAGGTAGAAATTTTCTGATGGTGATTTGAGAAGATGCTTTTTGAGTTTTTAAGGGTGTGTGTGTGTGATTAATTTGTTTAAAAAAGTAGAATTTCAGTTAAAAGGAAGAAAGGTTTGATTAATATTAGTGTAATCAGTTCTCTAGTGTGAACGGATTTTATGATGACTAGCTAGTAATTATTGCAGTGATGATCATTTGCCTATTGGCAATTTGAAAGTATTAGAAAATCAAATCTTAATACTACCAGGGGTGTCAAATGCTCAAAGCAATGCAATCTGTCTTTCTGCACGGAATAAGGTTTGCTTCTGTTTGGATTTTGTCTTTAAAAACTTGAGATGTGAAAATGTTATGGAAGTTCTTGCTCTCACTTATTCTAACTTTCCTGTCTCATCACCAGATTCTGATTTTGTATAAATTCTGCTAATACTTCTCAGTTCTCATTACTAAATCCCAATAGACATTGGCCAAAAAAAGATAACTTTGAAGTAAAACTTCTCAAGCTAGATACCCATATTTCTTAAATTATCTACAACTTCAAAGTAAAAAAAATAAGGAAAACTTGGTTTAGGATTTTCTGTATTCCTACCATGATAAGAAATTTGAAGTTTTAACATCAATTACAACACATATGTTTTCAGTTTAAACATTAGTCAAAGGAGGAGGGGGGAAATATTTATCCTTGTAAATCACTAGCCTAAGGAATTGCTTACTATGTACTTATTTAGAAAAGATTTATAATAACAATAATTTAACCATTTTAGGAAACATGAGTCTTGGTGCCACCGGGCTTTGCATTTTGGGCTAATAACAGAAAAGGTGGGCAATTTGAGTCCACCAACTGCCCCAAGGGAGAAGATAAGCAGGCCGGTAAATTTTTAGCAGCCCTCCCATAAATATTTACAGCCTCAGAAGTCCAATGGAGAGTCATTATGAGTTGGGACCAACTCCGTGAGAGTGGATTTGGTTTGGTGGGAGGAGTAGAAACATGTGAGCAAAATGGGATAAGATCACAATTGTATGTCATTTCTTATCTGAACACAATTCTCCCAGCTGGCCTATCTCTAGAGCCATCTTACTCTAGAAAAGTGAATGTAAGAAGGACTGAGCCTAGTAAATCAAGAGAACTGCACAGTATACCTGCTTATGGAATAACTCTTAGGTGGTGATTGTTGTTATGTGCTATCCAGTTGCTTGCAACCCATAGGACCCTATGTACCAGAGACTTAAATCCTGCTCTATCCTGTGCCAATCTCACTGTCTCTGACACACCTACACCCATTACCCCAATCACTTAATCGATTCATCTCATCAAGGGTCTTCCTCTCTTGCGCTGTCCCTCCATCCTCCCAAACATGAAGTCCCTCTCCAAGAACTGGTCCCTCCTTGCAATATGCCCAAAGTATGTCAGATGAAGCTTCAGAATCCTTGCCTTCAAGGAATAGCCTGGTTTTCACCTCAGTCCATAGTTTATTTAACACTCTTCTCTGGCACCACAGCTCAAAGGTATCAATTCTCTTTATATCATCCCTAGTCATTGTCTAGCTCTCTGACGCATAGCACACAATTGGGAAGACTATAGCCTGGATCAGGCACACATTAGTCTCCAGCCTAATGTCGTTGCTCTTCAATACTCTGAAGGGGTCCCAGCTTACTTTCCCAAAGCAATTCGTCTCTTGATTTCCTGGCTTCTGGTACCGAGTGTTGATTGTCATACCAAGAGTATTGATTGTGGAGCTAAGCAAACTAAAACTGTTAACAATCTCAATCTCTTCACCATCCATAATGATGTTGCCAATTGGCCCAGTGGTGAGAATCTTTGTTTTCTTGATGTTGAGCTTCAATCCATATCGAAGGCTGCAATCCTTCACCTTCTGCAGCAAGCGCTTCAGGTCCTCCTCAGTTTCAGCAAGCAGTGTTGTGTCATCTCCATAATGCAGGTTCTTGATTAATCTTCCTCTAATCCTGATGCCACATTCCTCCTCATACAGCCCAGCATCCCAGTTTATCTGTTCTGCATACAGATTGAAAAGGTATGGGGACACCTTTCCTGATTTTGAACCATGTAGTGTCTCCTTCCTCTGTTCTAACGATTGCCTCTTGGTTCATGTATAGATTTCACATAAGGACAATCAAATGTTCTGGGATCCCCATTCTTCTGAGAGTCAGCCACAGTTAGGTTAAGAAAAAATCATTAATGAGGAGGGGATAGGGTGTTAATCATTGGGGTATGCAATTCAATAGGTTGGTGAGGTGAAGGAAATGGAAAGGATCTTTTGTGAAAAACAATGTATTCAAACTTTGTAAATAAATCAGAATAAAATATTTTTTTTAAAATAGAGAGAATACAAATCATTTAGAGCAGAGAAGTTGGACATGTCTCAACTTACAATGTATTTACAACTGTTTCTGAAACTGACTTTTTATGAGAAATTTTACACATTAAGTTACAAACTGATATGAACATTATCATTGATGGTAAACTTTAAAGAGTATACTTACGCAGGACAATAATGGCAAACATAGAAGTATTTAAACTCTTCTTGATTTGGACAGAAGGCAATTCCACACCCAATACGGAAAGAAGAATACCAGACGAGCTACACACCCATGAGGAAAGGGATGAAAGGGTATTAAAGGAAAATGCAAATATTCTTTTTAAAATTGCAAAATTTAAAGAAGGTTACTGTTACAGTTTATCGCTCTTCAGCATATGTTGATATTTAAACTTAAATATTAGACTTAAAGTTGCATTCTTTTAAAATTTATATTTTTTTTATGTAAAGTCACTACTTTACTCATTTAAACTACTATAAAACTTCTCTTTGTTTCTCATCTAAGAGTTTGCAAGGCATTGACAAGAATGATAGCTTATTGGTAAAGAGTGCCAGGGTCTGATTATACTTACTTGCCATTTGGGTGGAATTTTATCTGTATTAATTGGTCTTTTTATTCTTTTTCCTACATTGAACTTTGTGATCAGTCAAGACCATTATTGTAAAAAATAGAAGGATAACTAGTAAGTATAAACGTTCAATGGAGGGAGGGGAGTGTGCTGAGGGTGGGGAGAATCATGAGATCACAGAGATTGATAGGCAGAGTCAGAAGGTGAAGGAATTAGAAAAGATCCAGTGAAGACTTGAAAAGATGAGGTAATAGTGGGCATAGGTCAATGGTGATTAATTTTTTTAATAGTAGTTAATTGTATGGGAATGATCATATGAAACACACTGTGAATGAAGGAATGTATGAAACTGTGTTTGAATGAAATACAATGTATATGAATTTTGTATGCAAATAATATAATATTTTATAATATAAATATAAAATAAATTTTTTAAAAATTAGAAAGGTTTTCAAAGGCAAGGCGTTTGTGGAAGAGGTATTTTTACTTACCTGAGTATAATGTCCAACAACTGAATTTGAAGTCGTTGGTCCTACACCATAGGTAAAATTAAGACTCTCATCATACCAACTTTGGATTGCAGTAGACCAGAAGGTGGGGTCAGTTGACATATAGAGATTCTCACCACATTTTGTAGCTAAAATATTTAAAATAAAATAAGCCACAGAGAGACTGAAAAAAAGCATGCCATGGTAAAATAAATGACCTATATTGGAAAGGCTCTGCCTTTCCAACACAATGCTGGTTTTGCTGTTGATTAGTCTATAAGGAAGATACCTTAGCTCCTTATCAGCTACAATGCTGGAGAGAGGATGGTTATGCCCAACACAGTTATAATGTAAGCTTGACCAAATTGAAAACCTTTTGAGTAGATTGTGATGCTCTTTGCTTTTAAAATCCCATTTTCCTGGATTTTCAAAGATACATGTGAAATTGCTCCCTTACCCAAGCCTCCTGCACTCTCAGCTTTGTACTATAAACTTCTTGAAAAAAGAGACCAGCTCTTTCAGTTTCTCTCCTCCTTTTACCCACCCACACCAAAGATTCCCAGAAAATGGAGATAATGGAGTTGATGTTTATGATTATGATTTTTTTGTGGACTCTGACAAAAGAACAAAACAAAAAAACCTTGTTGTTGTTGTTGTTATGTGCCATCGAGTCGCCTGCGACTCATAGCGACCCTATGTACAACAGCCCTAAACTCCGCTCTGTCCTGTGCCAATCGCACTGTCTCTGACACTCCCACCCCA